ATATATATATATATATACATGTATAAGTTCTCGCTCAACACCTTGAGAACGGCTCGTAAGGCCATATATTCATTCATTGGTTTAAATTTCACGAGCCTTAAGTCTTTATTAATTAAAAAACTTTATTAAAGTAAAAAATAAAAATATATTTTGTGTATTATATCTTATCTTGTTTTTGAATATTCATACAACGGCTGAAAAGTTCTTACAGCTTGAATTTGCACATTGTTTGGATGACCGTCCTGGCGACAAATATTTTCCTGACTTTTCCCATATTGATTAGGTACCGATCGGTTAAATTTGAATATGTGGTGTGTAGCGTTCGAGCAGAATTAATGAGTTTCAAGCGAAAACATTTCTCAAAAGGCCGAGGATAACGCTCGAGGACATCGTTAAGAGAGATTACTTGCGACCGTCGACGCGGACGAATCGAAGCGAGAAATCGTATCCGCGGAGAATCACTTCTCATTGTTAACATTAAACGTATAATTATACTCATTTTTTGATAACAAGTATCAGTGAATATTATTTATTATTAAATATAACGATAACCTTATCACACAATTCCTACAATACTGTGTTTAATACTATTTTTTTATTGTGTTTGGATTTTGAATTTGAATGAATTAAAAATAGGAAAAAAAATAATAAAAAAAAAACACAGTATTTGTGCAAGTGTATTTGTCTTTTTTTAAAAAAGTAAGTTTTTCGAGATATCACTTCTTGTTTGTAGCATACATTTTAATTATATAATACTATTAATAAGATTAATATACATATATATTATATGTATAGATAAATATTAATATTATTATAATAATATTAATATTATTAATATTAATATTATTATATTATAAGTATGTATTTAAGTTGTAACTCATTACGCGAGTTGGACAGTTTATTTGATTCAACAACTTTAAGATTTGTCATATCTCAGTATGACTTCAGTAATTGCTGAACCGATGGACTTTCTTTTAAGTTAATGATGCATGATGCTTTTTTGCTTGCTGGATTGCTTGCGAGCGCCAAAATTGTCTAATCGTTATTTGAAAATCAAAGAATTGTCAAATTGCCATGATGCTCATATGCGATCCGACAAAGAGCATTGTGTGCCGCTGGCTAAAGTCTCAATCGATTTTTACAGTTACAAATTTTGTGTTCTCTCTCTCTCT